TCAGACCTGTGCAACTGAACATGCACACCCAGAGGCTCCCCTTCTCCCTCCCACTCCAAACTTGCAAAGCAAGATGATGCTTTGATCTTGAACCCTCCCCAGAAAATCTCCTTTGGCAAGCCTCGCCATGACAGCTGGGCTCCACCATGGCAACTTTCTGTAGACAACACTGACAAAAATCTAAACGCCAAGTCCTCTGGAGAAGTCTTGATGAGGGAAACCAGGTGTATGCTGCGAATCCAGCTGGCGAGAGTTGAAACCATGCCAGGTAGCTTCACATTTTTGTAAAAAAAAGAAGAAAAGTCACCCTTAGGAGAAGCCCTGAATCCATTGCTACTGCTGTGGTCTTGGTTAACCAGAGACACCGAGTTTCCTCCACTGATTGCCTCTGCTTAATTTTCCATGCAACTTGACAAAAAGGAATGTGACAAGTTCTATCTCAACTTGCAATCAGGCAAGACAGGGCTGTGTTTGTCCTTGCTAACCCAGGAGACTGAGGAGCCAATTAAAACTCCTTCTCCTATTTCATGTTCTGGTGGTGGAATCAACACAGAGATGAAGGGCTGGTCCAGAGCATGTGGGGAGGAGGTGCTGGGGCTTCCTGTCTGGTGTGGATCCAGGGGGCACCGCTTGGATCAGCCTACTTTATCATTTAAGGGTTGTTGAAAGGCTGAGAACAAGAAAGCTTCTGCCACACAAAATATCCTAAATAAGGCAGGCACCCAGAAGGCCCTTGGCTTCCATTGGTACTAAATAGCTAAAGCTTCTTGGGGCCCACACATCCTTTGCCCAAGAAATCCCATTACCAGGGCATTTGGTGCTCACCTCCCCCCAGCCTCCTGCTCAGGGGCAGATCCAAGTTTCGTAGAGTGTGAAACTTATATAATTTGAGGGAGTCCTCTTAAAAAACAAAGACTACGTAATTACAAATATTTGTATGAATTTGGTATGAAAAGAATGTTTATTTGGAATAAAAATATATCAAAGCAAACAAAAAAATTTTAAGTTGATAAGTACCATAGATGTCAACATACCTAGAAAAGAAGCAGTCTTTTTATACCAGATATGCATGTATCAGAACTTTTTTTCTACTTTTTTCCCCCTGTACATGCCTTTAGAGCTTCATTATATGATGAAATGTTATAATATTGTCTGTAGCAAGAATAGAAAGATAATTCTCTCTTTTAGCATGGTTGATTGAAAATTGATTTGTAGTTTTTAGTAGTTCAGAAATGTCTCTGTTTCACCACTGCTGTGGTTTGGGTAAGTGTCCTGCAAAGGTCTATGTGTTAAAGGTTCGGCCCCCAGAATGGGACCCTTGGGAGTGGTATAACTTTTGAGATTTGGGGTCTGGTGAGAGACCCTTATGTCAGTGTGGGTGTGTCCTCAGAAGGAATTGTGGGACCAAGATTTCTTCTTTTCTCTCCTTTTGCTGCTGGATTCATGAGGTGAACAGTTTGTTCCACTCCACACTCCTGCTGCCCACCAGGGCCTCAAAGCAATGGATCTACCCAGTCTCAGTGTAAACCTGTAAAACTGTTAGCCCAAATCGCCTCTTCTCTTGATAAGTTAATTATCTCAAGTATTTCGTTATAACAGTGAAACACTGAGTAACACAACCACTCATTGGTAATTTCACTACTACATTATTAGTAAAACGGTTAGCATTATTAGATTTGGAGAAAATCTCACATTTCTTTTGTATGTAAAAGGTTTCAGAACATTTCAAGATAGAGGTGTGTGTTGGGTAAACAACATCTTAAATGTTCTTTGAATTGAAGAGCTCATTAAACATTGTATTACCAGTTTTATGTTGGTCTTTGAATATTGGTGTCCATGTGGTGGTTGGTGAGAATATTTTAGGAGGCCATTCTTACTGGTACTTTTATAGTAATTTAACAAGACACAGAAATAACTGCAAATCACACAGTTATACCCCCACTAAATCATAATTAACTGTCACTCCTATAAAATTCCTCTTTGCCAAATCTCCAGTATTCCCATAACATTTCTTGTTATCATCTAACTCAAGGGGAAATTGGTGGAGAAAGACAGTAATCTTAACCAAATGGAGTTAACAACTTTTGGAAATTTTATAAAAATATGTAACCATGTGATTATATTAGTTGGGCCATTCTCAAGACCTTGGAACGGCCCTGTGCAACCAAGGAGCCCCTCATACTTAAATTTTACTAACTTTATGTTAAGCCAACACATAAAGAAATGCTCAAATTAAAGTAGGCCTACTTCCTGGATGGAAGGTAGCATCCTATTAAGAAAAGACTGAAATGCCAATCCAAGTTAGTTGCCCAGTGTTTCTTCAACTTAAAAATCACACTGGTTTTGAGTTATATTCCTACATATTCCTATTTTCATGCAGTAGATGAAAAAGCAAAACTTTAAGGACTTGCCCTAAGAGGGAAACAGTTTTTAGTCCAACTCTTCCATCCATACTAGGGAGGGCTTCCCCTAGGTCATCTTAATCCCTCATCTACATAAATAACTTGAATTATTCCAAATCAGTATAGTTGACCCCTTTTGGCAGTCCCGTTGCTTGAAATTCTACAGAGGAAATACTGTGCTGGCTATCAGAAGTGATCAGCTTGCCTGGCTGCCACTCCTGGAATGAGTGGTTGGCCTGAAGGCTTAATGATGACCTGATAGGCATGAGTCCTAGTACTCCTCAGAGCATCCCATCTGATAGGTTCTATGTGTAGGGTATAAGGTTAGAATGAAACCTGAAGCAGAGAAACCAGGACTGAGCCTGAAGCCTGCAGGTCCAGGTCAAGGCACTGTGTAACCCAACCAAATGACACTGTTGGTCCCTGGCCAGTCTCGGGTACTTTGAAAATTTGGTGAAGGTGCTCCAAAGCACAGGGCCTGCTGAAGTGACCCTGCTTGGGCTTAAGGACAGTACTGGAAGAGTGGTGACAAGACCCCTTTTATTGAATTTTTTTCTTTTAACTTCTTTTTTATTTTTTCAATGTAGCAATGACTGCAAAGCATACAAAGATAGAACATGCTAGAAAAGTTGACTTTTCCTGGGAATTATTCACTGTCATTTTAACTGGTTAGATTTAAATGATTTTCTTAAATAGTGTGATCACCGGGCTTTAATTTAAAAAGCACTTACTGTGTTTTGTCTTCATGATAAAATATGTTGGTGTTTTGATCCTTAGCTACCTACCCCCTGCACTTCTGGCCTTAACTCCCTGCTGGGACCTTCTCTCTGTTCTTCTATGTGAATTTCTCTTCCCATTATCCCCATTCTAGAGTTTCTTTGTGGCCAATCTTGGATGTTATTTGTAAAAGATTTTAAATTAAAAACTTCAGGGTCCACTTTTCTTTGTTTGGGAAGTGGGGAGGATATTGGCAAATGGAGGCCATCAGTGGGTGAGCTCTTTTGCCAGTCTTTTTCTTCCTTTGCTTCTGCTCTGCTTCTACTTGTTTCCCTTTTGTTCCCACCCAGGATACAGATTTTTATTCTTACATGTGATGGAGGCAGAGGGTGTTGTAGGAAAAATGCTTGTAGAAACATAGCTTGGAGAATAAAAGACTCAAGAAAAATATGTGAGCTTCAGTATCCAAAGGCTCATCATGTAGAAGAGAAGAATGCCTTTTTTGTCTGTGACCCCAAGCAATTAAGGAAGATCCAATCCCAGAGAAAAGGAAAACCATTGGTTGTCATAAATGGAATGTAGCATCTTAGGGTGACCTCTTGGCAAATACATTAGGGATTGGATTCAGACAAAGGTTGGATTTGGAGTTCATTGTTTTCTGACAAAGTGAAACCAAGTATAAAAAAACCTGGTAAAATCCCAAGGCTAGATAATATCCTGAGGTGAAAGTAACTCTTTTCTTTGACTTTACCTTTTTTTCTTAGGTCTAAGTGGATGTCATTTCTAGAAACTACTCTGAGTCTTTGACTCTCATAGGTGGCATCTGTCTTTACATCTTAGCCTCTCTATACTCTGCTGCCATTCCCATGGCAAGAACCCCATTCTTTCTGTTGATATTGAATAACTCATCATGTGCTCCTGGTAATCATGGCTTCCACTCATGGCCTACCTAATCATCACTTTGCCTAGGACTCGGCTGGCTCATATGTATGGAGCTTAATGTAAGAGTTGTTATGCAAACTAGGTGGTTAAATCCTTTGCAGTACCTGCAATTCCATATATCTATGACTCTTGCATATTTGGTTTGGTGATCTCAGTGTTTGTCTTGAGTGGAAAGTGGATCCCAGTAAGAGATGGCTCATGGATAATCTCACCATCTCCATCTTTTCTCTTTCATTTTCTTCTTCATAGAATATTAGATTATGATAGACTCTCAGGAAATGTATTTCAACATGTCCAGTTGAACAAAACATATACTAATTTACTTGGGTTGTCATTTCTTCCTATCTTTGTTTTCTTTCTTTCCCAACCCAATGCTTTATTGGTACCAGCAAGGTCACTGAACATTCACATAGCCTCTCTGCAGGATCTCAAATCTTAAGAAAGGGCCAATCCCTGTGTGCATCCAGGCCATTCCCATTTGTTTCAGTGATAAATTCCTCCTACTAGAGAGAAGGAGAGTATACTTTTAATGAGGCTTTTAGAAATAATTTCTAGTTTTCACTACTGGAAAAAATAAACTTTATGAATTTGCAATGAAAATATTTCACTATGAGAAATCTATCCTTTTATAATTAAAAAGAAAGTATGAAGGAAAGAAAGGGGTAAAAAATGAAGTGTATTCATTCTTCATCGAGTTATATAGATGTAGCTTTACCTGTCCAGAGAAAAGTTGGGGTGTTTCCAGTGGTAGGGATGGAAAGCTAGTAATGCCCTACACCCACAACTAAGTTGATTCAGTCCTTACGCAGTCACTGCATGCACTAGATGCACTAGGAGTACACTAGATGCATCAGCTCCTGGGCTGTGTCTATCATGTATGGTCTGTGCTCCTCCCTAAGCCTTTTGTCTTCCTAGACTAAGATCCTTAACTTTTGTCACATCACTGATTTGGAGTGTCTGCTTGATCACCTGACAGAAGTGACACCAGCTCTGGAGTACCTCAGCTTGCTGGGTAACGTGGCATGTCCCAATGAGCTGGTCAGCTTGGAAAAGGATGAGGAAGACTACAAGAGATACAGGTGAGTGCCCATATGGCTGGAGAAAGGAAAATATATCATTTTGAGGTATGATATTATACTATGGGCTGCATAGTTCATGTCTGGTATCAAAGGTCTACCTGTGACAATGGTAAACTCATTTTTGGAAACTTAAAGGTATTCTCTCCCTTTTTGAGGTTATAAGACCCAAGAAAGATGAAAAGTTGTTGTGTGGTCTAGATCAGGGGTTGATAAACTTTTAAAATAAACAGCCAAATAATGAATATTTTAGGTTTTACAAGTCATGTGGACTCTATCACAATGAATAAGCTCTGCTCTTGCAGTGCGGAAGTAGCCATGAATAATTTGTAAATGAATGGGCTTGGTTCTGTCCCAATAAAAACTTTACCCAGGGGTCAAGTCTAGCCTACTGTCTATTCAGTAGGCTAGACTTGACCCCTGTGTTGTAGTTTGGTGGACCTTTCTTATGTTGTTAGGTCTTTCGGTGGTCTGCCCCAGGGTTACGTTTTGGAAAGAGACTTCTTTCCATCAAAGTTTAGGGAGCTCATGTATAATCCTAACAGAAGGTCCCACAGGCTCTTTCCTCATCTCCGAAAAGCTACACTTCAGTGTCCACCAGCCATGCACGTGGATGGGCTCCAGGTAAAAATGGTGTTCTTTCTTCTCTACTTCTAAACTATCTGCTTTGAAACCCCTCATCCAAACTAACCTCTCTCAGGGAGTCTTCTTATCTTACCCTCTTATCTTTCTTTTACTTCCTCATTTTGATGCCTGTGTGCTTTCCTTCTTGATGGTTGTTTTGTAAGTGTTTTCAAAGATTTGTTTCACATGTGCAGTTCTTTTCTGATTGTGATATAGACTCTGATTAACATACCTTCTGAATCAATGTGAGGAGGGAGAAAGGAGGGAAGGAAATGAGAGAAGAAGAGAGGAGGGAAGGAAAGATGGAAAGAAGAAAGATAGAAAAGGAAAGAAGGAATGGAGGGAGGAAGGAATGTAGGAAAGGAGAGTAAGACAGAGAGAGAGAAATAGAGAAAGAAAAGCAAGGAAGCAAGGAAGAAAAATACTGGGTAAGCAGGGGAAATAGATTTGGAGGCAGTGAGGAAAGAGGAACTTATTCTCTTGGAACTCATATTCAAATCTGTGGTGACCCATAAGGGAATATATATATTTGGGGCATTCATTTTGTATAAAGGTAAAGCTGTAAGAAATACTGAAGGCTGTTGAATGTTGTTGATTAAAAAGACATACAACATACATATAAGTAAGTAAGGATATAACAGGAATTCAGTTATATATCTTTTTATGGAATAATTTTATATTTTAAAATTACTTTCTAGGTTTCTTGATTAATTTTTAGGAATTGTAGATGAGTCTTAAACCCTCTTAGAGCAAAACTCTAACCCTACTTCAAAAAAATTATTAAACCTGTCTCTGTGATGAAGATTTTCATTTGAGATGTGATGCTATAGGTTTGACTGTGAATTCTGTTTCACAGAAATATAGTTAATATCCTGCAGGTGAATGCATATACATTTCTAAGGTTGCTTAATCACTCAGAAATGGATGTTTTTTAAAACACTCTTAACAATTTTGAACCATTTAATAGCCTGATTTCAGTTGTGAAGCTGTTACTTAAAACATATTTTCTCTTCTTGTAGCACTTCTTTTAAGGTATATTTTGGAGTATCAAGAAATTTTTAGTAAAGCAAAATTGAGGAAGTCTCTCTTGTTTTCTTTTTTCTTCAGACTTCATTGCTTAATTCTTTGAAATGACCTAATAAATTTTATATATGTATCTATGTAGATATACATATCCATATATTTGTACACCCTAATATATCTGTACATCCATATATATGTATATAGTATATATGTATACATATATATATCTGTACATCCACATACATATTCACCTACATTCATTTATCATTCATTCATACAGCAAAAAGTCACTTGTGAATCTGTCTGTAGGCAAGTTTCTGTTGTTTTCTTTCCCTCTAGAGTGAGAAAGAATGTGGGAAGTTTTCAATTCCAAGGTTGTAAAAGGAAAAGAAAAGCTAATACAATTTTTTTTTGTTATTTTAACTCGTCACATTGGCAAAAATACTAAGAACCATAGTGTAAGGGGCCAGATGGGAAGATCTTATGTGAAGTCCACCTTGAGCAGTGGCCTCTGAATCACCCAAGGCATCTTAATGCATTTAGTGACAAATCTTAAAAAACTATCTACAGAAGATTGTAATGGTCATTTGACTCTAGCATTCCGAGACTCTCTTCTCAAGCAGTTTTGCTTCTCCTTTATTGTCACACTCCATGTTAGTATATATTCCATCCTGTATATTTCTCCCCCTACTTCATATATTTCAACATCTAGAGTATATTTCCAGTGGGTAAGAGCTGAGTCTTCTTGTCTCTTGAAGCCTCACCAACACCTAATGTGGTGCTGGACATGGAAAATGGGGATTGATAAATGCTGGAGGTGGTTCGAAATTACTTTCCTACTTAGCATCTCGGTATTTTGGCATAGATGCAGGGATCTCTGGTACCTCAGATGTCCACTGTTCATTTGGAATCAGATCCATTTGGATACCAATAAATGCAGTTAACAAGCAAGGGACTATGATTTGGACTCAACCCAAGCACTGCTTGTGGGTTGTGATTCTTGGGTGAGGGCTTGATTCCACAGGAGTAATCCATCTCTTGGACTAGCCTGGGCATCTCCTCCCTATCTGAGGCCTGTTTCCCTATGAGCATATGAGGAAAGGTGGTTTGCCAGTGCACTTATGGGCAAGTTGTCACATGGGGCTAGATTCTACGTAGGATGCTTGCATGCACCCAAAATCACATTTATGCCACATTACCTTAGAAAATCTCTGTCACCCACAACAACAGCAAGATGCTTATACTCTGAGAGAAGCAGCAATGACCAGCAGAGGGAAAGTGAAATGTGTGTCTGCCTGGTTACACTTTCACACATTTGCCATGCAGCGTGATTGTGCAGTGGAATGGTAGATTGATTCCCTAGCGTGTTTACATTTTTTTATGCATTTATTTATTTATTTTTATGTTTTATTGTTGATTTGATAAGCGCTGACCCTTGTATTTGGAAAAAAACCAAATGTATGCATGATGCAGTTCCATTCTATGGTCTGTAAGCAGCTCTGATTTATTATCCTGGAATTTGTGCTTCATTTGCCCCTGAGAAATTTTAGGGTTTCACAATATGACTTTTGAATTCAGAGTTCCTGTGGCACTTGTGTTTATACACAGCAGTGCAGCTGCTCGTTTTTTTTCTTTTGGTAAAATATTTTTCTGGCCCTTCATCCACGAAGTATGAGGTCTACCTTCTTTCTAGCTGTTACCCAGAGCCTTAGAGTGGAGCCTCTATGTAAATTTATGTGACATTTTTACTAGAAAATTGCTTAAAAAGTGAATAATATTTCTACAGTTTACTGTTTTTCACTTTAAGTACATTTTCTGACAATATGTCTTCTATTAATCATTTAAGCAATAGTAGGAGCCTTAAAGGAGTGTATTCAGAAGCAAGAACCCATGGTTCATTTAGTGCTGTCTAAAAAAATTTCTTATTGATTGGCATCCTCTGTGGTTATGTGATGTAATATTTATAATATGTCACACAGCCATACATCAAAAAAGTGCGTCTCTTGTTTCATTTCCATGGGAGATGCTGATTTCAAAGAGGTCAGCCCAGTTTTAGGTCATGCTGTGGCCAACCACTGGACCAGAAATGGGAAGTGAATAGATTTATGTAGCTATTGGAAATGGCATCACAGATGTTCAGGTTTTTGCTGAGTCTTTTCTCCTCTCCCCTCACACCCACCCCTTTGGCTCTCTCGCTTACCCCCCATGGATCCTGTTGAATTTTCTTGGCACTTATCCCCACAGTAAAACGGGCTCATTAAATTTCTATATGAGCATGAATATACTACAGAGTTGTTGAGTAGAGTCCTGGCCTGCTGGGGCAGGAGCACAACTGTGCCTGGGGTTCCCTTTGCTATTCATCAGAGTTCATGGCTGAGCAATGTCCACACTGTGTCGTTATAGGAGCCTGGACCTGCCTGTGCTTTGCTGTGGGGATGCATTGCTGCTGTTTGGGGATGAATATTGAGTGGAGGTGACAGCAGCCTTCAGGATTTGGGCAGGGAGAGGGTGGCCAGGCAAGGCTTGCCCTAGTGCTTAGAAATCTTTCTGGCCTCTTGTCGACTTCAACACCAGCTAGAGTAACCAATCAAGTCTGGGAAACTTGGATGCTCAGAGTGGTCTGCTGCCTTCCTTTGCAATGTTTCCTCTTTTTCTCTGCAGAAAGAATGGTGGCCTGAAGGTCAACAATGATCCACAAATGCTAGACTTCAACTTTCCAATAAGGGAGCTGGGCTTCTGGCCTCTTAGCTGCCCTCGGTCACCAAAGCCTGTGTTGTGCACTGTCTCCTGCCACTCCAGTCTCTGGCTGGCCTTTCCTTTGCCCTTCACCACAGTAGATCCCTCTGTGTTCCTTGCAACTCTGAATTATTTAAAACGTGACACTCTTTCTTTGTTCCCTGGTAGGGAGCAATGCTGGGGCCTGCCCAGCATCTGTAGCACTCAGCTGAAGGGAAAGAGGGAGGGACCCTCCGCAGTCTGTGGCTGCCTGGGCCCCACCATTTCCCACCCAATAGGAGCTGTAAAACTTGTGGCTTACATAACCCAGCTAGCATGCTCCAGCTAATCTACAATCTGGGCTTTGAAGATCACAAGAAAGCAAAGGTCACGACCCAGAGATCAAAGTGACAGAAGCCCACAGAGTAATTGCCGGTTACCCTCTGCAGAGGGCCTTGGACTGTCCTGTGGGTGTATTGTTTGCACAGAGACTTCAAACATGCTGCCGGTGAACTGTGAGGAAAATCAGCTGGCCTTTGCCAGTTGCCAGGCATTCATTAATGCTGTAGGTGAGCTCACCCCAGCTCATTAGAGTGAGATCATTGTCATCTCTCTGAGCATCTGGAGCTATTCCACACCCA